CACCACTCTTTCAGTAAAGAATTTTTTCCTAATATCCAATCTAAACCTCCCCTGGTGCTGCTCCCCAAACTGGACATGCCACATTGGGAAAGCTGTGGGACTGGGAAGATGAGCCTGGCTGGGCTGGTGGTCCTGCCTCAGCCCTGTGGTTTCTTCATGCTTGGGAAGACATCAAAACTGGAGCGGGAGCACCTGGGAGGCTTCAAACCCCAGGACGTGTTTTCCTTTCCAGGGCTTGCTTAGCCCATCAGCAGCCAGGGTCCCAGCGCACCCCTCAGCAAGCGCTCGGCACCTCGCGTGCCTGTGACTCGCATACTGAGGGCTCCCAGCTTTGTGGGCTTTTGAAAGCCTCTCTGCTTGTGCATCGGTTCCCTCCCAGCCACAGTGCGTGCGGTCAATGGCACTTGGGCAGCCGGCCAGCAACGCGATGCCCGTCCACTCTTCTTGCAAGTACTTTTTAGAAAATTAAAGTATCAATCAGCTGCTATGAAAACGGTATCTACCAACTAGCATAGACCAAGTTGAGGGTGAGTAACATTGCACACTGGAATCTGAACAACTTCAGCGCAAACATAAATAAAATAGTGCCAAAACATGGTTGTTTCCCAGAAACAAGCCAACCATTGTTAACTCTGGCTGCAATGGCCTGTAACACTACAATCACAGTTAAAAGTGCAGAACTCCTCTTAGTCACCTCTGTTTCATATGTAGTTGTTTTTTGTTTTTTTTTTTAAATACTACCAATGTAGTATTTTAGTGCCTTCCAGTAAACGCAGAAATGTACTTATGAATTTAAAAGAAGCATTTTATTTGCAAAGTTCACTAAAACTGCCTGATGAAGTTTCAATTAACTTCTTTTGTTTACCTGCTGCTAAATCAGAAGAGAGCTTAGAAAATCTAGTAATGGATGACACGTGATGAAATTAACAAAACGTGGATGAAATACAGACTGAACAACCAATGCACGAATTACCTCAGAGTGAATCAGCATTCCTCCATGAGCTGCCATAATTTGGGCTTCAAGACTCAGTCTGAAGGACCCTTCTATCCTAGGCACCAATTGCTGAATATCAGGCACCAAGCAGGCTCAGATATTGTCTTGTGACTGCAGAACAAGCTCCATGTTGGGATACAAAACCTTTAATGACAGTACTGTAAGATACTAACACAAACACAACGGCGTGTATTGGAAGCAAAAGTCTCGCAACTTTGATTCAAAAGATGAGATGGTGACTCTCCTTTTCTTACTTCTGCATGAAACTTTGCTTAAAGTGAGTGTTTAGGTTTAAGAAATGTTTTTCTTAAGCTAGAGTAAGTGCCACACATTCAACCACAACAGCGTATTCCCAGATGGTAACTACAGGAAAAACAAGGCTGTACATAGATAGTGCAAGGCATAACCCTCTTATTTTTAGGTAGCTGTAACTTTTCTAGTTACTCAAGTAGTTCTCTAGTACGTTGCCAAACTCCCCTTTACTCGGGTAACCATAACACATTCCAGATAAATACAGTTAACACAATCCTATACCTTCCCTTAGGCAAAACATTCTTTGATTTAACTTCCGATACTGACACATATAGAATAAGAAAGAATGAAATCTAATGTGAGCCTACAGCTATGGCATGTTCTCTTTGAACCCTGCATTTGGCCTCATGCTGTAAAGGTTGAAGAGCATGCAGCCTCAGTACTCTGGTGTAATATAAGGCAGGGAGACTCACTATTTGAGCGTAATTTTATTCTATGAGCTAATTTTATCCCACAGTTAAAGAATTCTAGAAGGACTCTAAATACTTTAAGTTGTTTCTGTGAGGTCTATTCAGAGAAATGGTATTTTGGTTATTTCATTAGAACAAATGTCTTAAGTTTCATGGAATCTTCCCCTTTCACCTCCAATGTGACTTAAATTTATGACTATTATTGGCCTTTTGTTTGTAATTAAAGAGAGTTTGCTTTATATAGCCAAGTGTAGCTCTGATACAGGCAGCTGATTTGCTGTTAGCTGAAATGTAAAAAAACACACTATGAAAACCTTGAAATTTCAACTGTCATTGTTTATTACTGTTTTGGCTACATTCTCTACAATTTCAGCAGCATCTTAAAGAGACAGTTAATGTTTCTTTATATACAATGAAAACAAAATGGCTTGCAACATCAGAAACAAGAGCAACAGTTTAACTGTACAATACTAAATGAAAACCTGTGGTAATACAGCCTCCTTTTTCTGCAACATGGACAAAATTACATATAGGTATTCAGCATCAAGAACGGGATAGTAAAAGAATAGTGAATGGGAGAAAGATACACTGTTTTGAAAAATAAGTTTCTACCATACAAGGCAGTTAGAAAATGTTTCACATTTTAAAATATCTGTACAAGCCACAAGAAACATTTCCTTGTTGATAGTAACTTCCAGAAATAGAGAATAACCATGAGCAAATTCTACACCTAGTATCAACGCGCTCTGCAGGTTGAGACTGCAATAAACTGACTTAAAGAACTGTACTGTATATTGCCAACACAGATCTGTTTTACATGCCTTGACTGTTAATGAATTGCCTACTCTTAATCTCTCTATAACGTACAGTTGACTTGCACCTTAAGGAGGTCATTTGATTTTTTTCGCAAAAGTAAAAGCAACGTCATTTAGCAGCAATTAAAAGCGCCTTGAGGGAGACTTAAAAAAAATACAATATCCAATTAGAAAAAGCCATACTTTAAACATTTGTACAGGAATAAGTTGCTGAAATTTAACTGAAAATGTGACATCTGTACAACAATTTACAACAGAGCTAGAAGGGAATTTATCATTATTTCTGCATAGAACATCATACATGACCTGTTTGCATTTGGTTTCGTACTGTTGCTTCCTTTTAACAGAAGTTTGGGAAGTTTCACAACTTTCAATACCACAGCAAGTACAGCATTTTTAGAAAATTGAGCAGATTTCAAAATTAGCAACCTATTTGAGAAATAAGTACCAGGAATTCCACATCACCCTTCCAATCCAAATTCGGTGAAACACCACCACATTTTTGGAGGTACAAGCCTGAGTTGCCAAATAAAAGACCACAATTTTGTCTGAGGAATCTGATACAGAACATACCTTTGACCATTCTCACACTCCCTTACTTTGGTTTCAAAAGAACAATGTCTTGGAAAGATGGCAGTTTATTTAGTTTATAACCAGGCACGGAATTTTTCCTGTGTTTACAAATTTGCTCACTACCCTTTTTTATTTAAATAATGAAAAACTACCCTTCATGTTAGAACTTTCCAGTATCAACCAAATGTACTTTAAGTATTAAAAAGATTATTTACAATGTTCCCCAGAAAAAACTAAAAACCTTTTCTTCAGTCTTAAACACAGTACACCTGTTAGTGTGTAACAGGTAGTGTCATCCTTCACTGTTTAAAGATATTTCTCAGAAGGGTACATTTATTCACAGTCCATGATCCATCCCAATCATACAAATGACACTATGTAGGAGGACTTCAGTCTGAAAACACAGTTATCAGACTTGTCCCGTGTAAGAACACTCAAATGCTTTCAAGCTCAAGTCTGCATCTGGAAACTACACAAAGGTATCATGCCATTCCTCGGTTGGAATTTCAGTACGAAATAATGCTTGAAGTCGGTGGCGTAGGGGACGCTGCTAGCCCAGTCATATGCAAGTTTCCTGAAGAATTTGATCTCCTCATGTGAGGGAGAAGATAAGGATCATTAGCCAGCTGGTGGACATCAAATCTATCCTCTTTCCGGTATGCTAAACAGCGTCTGATGAAGGCCTGCGGAAGAAATGTAAAAAGTTACAATGTCATTCCAAATAATTATGTCTGCTTACAAGGAAATATGCATGTCCTCCTGAATAAACTGGTTTCTAAACAAGTTCTTGTTCCTATATAATTCAAATGACAGTGCAGCATTTTACTACTGAATCAAATGAAAAGCAAAGTAATGTCACAGTAGGAAAAAACTCCAAAACAACAAACCAGGCAAAATAATCAGCTTCAAATAATCACACTTCAAATATGTATTTCCATGTTCCAGGACTATATTTACAAGTAAAATGCTAACATCTCACACAATGAGAATTCTGCACGTGCAATCCCTGAACAGCTTAGTAAAACCAGAAGCAAATGTCAGAGAACTGAAAAAGTAGGAAGGAGGTCCAAGGAGCTTCCAGAACCATTCAGCTGTGCAATCAGTAAAAGAGTCGACGGAAGATGCAGGGACAGAGTTTCAGTGCCCTAGTCGACCTCCGCAAGCAGGCTTTACCACACGGGCCATGAGAGAATAGAGCAAAACCTGAAATGTGACAATGATGGCTTCCATGTTCAACAGCCACTAAATAACTAACAGACTACTTAAGAAACCACTACCTAACTGGAACTTTTTTCCCCCCAGAAAAAGCTCAATCTCATCCACTTCAAAGTATCTAATTAATTGAAAAATTCTGCACTTAGCTTCTGGACTGTTCTTGACATAATATGTTAGCCTATGTTTCAGTCCACATGATGCATGCCAATCACTTTGTTCTGAAAGTTTCTGTCAAGTCTAATGCCTAGCATACACAGAACATTTGGTCTCCTGAGAGCTTGGGCTTCAACATTTAATGATAGAAAATCCTTATGATTGCTACAGAACTGATTAGCACATCATTACTTAATTTAGAACTTAATTTAAAAGAATTACATATCTTTTCTTTGATAAATCTGTTCAGCTGTTTGTTCTTTGCTCCAATTAAATACTGGAGATTAAAGGAAAAAAAATCTGCGATACAAGTTCCAAAGAATCCTGCTAGAATTTACTTCTATCCTTTACATACCCAGCATGAACAAGCTAGAAAACCAAAATCATGCACATGTGTTTATATAAATATATTTTCATATTTTCTCAGACATTATAGATTTGAATCAAATTCTTCACAATAAATCCTTCCTAACAAATGAATTGTTAACAGTTGTTTGCAAGATCCGCAGATTAACGGTTTGTGTCTAAAATGTTAACATACTCCACGCTTCTGTGGCACTCTAGACACATTACTGCGATGCAAAGGAGTACACGACACAAAATAGGAAAAAGTGAGGAGGATCAAAGGATGGTTGCGGTCTGAAAAATAAACCAGCAATGTCATTTCAGGTTCCATATTTATTTCATCCCCATATTTTCCAAAGCAGAATTTCAGTTTACAAGCTGTTCTTTTCCAACTGCCAGGCCTATAAATCTGAAAGACAATTTGGATTCCACAGTCATCATAAATGGTCTGAATTTACAAGTTAGTCTGAAATTGTTTTATAGCATTTCCACTAGAGAATAATTTCTCCCTCTCTCTTATAGGTATCGTGACAATAAAAGTGAAGAACACTGGAAGTTTATTTTAGTCTTTCGAACAAACAGAACATGGAATACACAGAGAATGTTAAAGAAATTGACAGTCTCCATGCTGAACTGCCTACTCTGTGCTGACATCATCCATATAAAAAGCTACTAATGACAAAGAAACATAAAGCAAAAAGACAAGGATACAAACTGTTAATATGTAATGTTGTTATATGATTTGTATCTGTCAGTTGTATTCAAGGGACACAATTTTTCCAAATGGGGGTGAAAAGACCAAAACAGCAAATAAAAAACTCAACCAAACAAAAAACCCAGGTTGAACCACAGTTTTTCAACCAAATTTTTGTAACCTTAACTGCAGCTCACTCACTAACACTACTTCTGGAAAACATAAAGTTTGTGGTACACTGCTATTGGTTAACAGCAGGTTTGTGTACCCAAAAGACTTATTTTCTTGGGAAGTTACAGCCTCTAGAAATAGGTTTCCTTTCATTTCAATTTTCAGAAGCTAGTTTAACATTCCTAAATTTTTTGCAGCCTGTGTCCCAAATCTAAGTATGTTTAATTAGTTGCTGAAACTTGAATAGGCATTCTACTATCTTGGCATTTTTTTCAACAAGTACATCTCTACTGCATCTGGCCATGAATATATCTTTCAAAAACTGGGACAGTTTTACAAACAAGTAACACATAGATCATGTTTTCTTCCATATTCACAGAATTGGCCTTGTGTTACATATGCTCACAGCAGCAATCATTTGGGGAACTCACTTTAATCGGTTTCTGAATAGCCAGTCTGTGGAGATGAGTTTGACACTAGAGATGTTTCAAAGTAAGATTTTTTAAATACAGAAAACATTGCCACCCACATCTTTGTGGCAGATCAACTATTTTGGCAGGATTATTTCCTGAATCAGCATTAATGTATCTTACAGATTCTTCATATCGGGAATTTATGTTTCTAAACTCAGCTTTGAGTTGATGCACACATGCTATGACCTTTCAAG